CGCGGCAGTCGCAGTAGCGCCGGCGCTGGAGGCGGCCGTCCGTTCGTCGGGGGGCGAGGCGGCAGACAGGCGGGTCCTTCTCCTCCTCCTCCTCCTCCCTCGCCATGGCCTCGCTGCCGCGGCTGCCGCTGCTGCTCCTTCTGCTGGGCTGGGCTCTGGCCGGCAGCATCGCGGAAGCAGCGGGGTCGTCTTCGAGGCGGCGCCGCCCGTCCTTCCACGGCCACGTGCCGGAGAACTGGCCGGCGGGGACGCGGGTGGGCGGCCTGAGCATCCCCCTGACGCGGCTGGCGCGGCCGGAGCCGTGGTGTGCCAAGGTGCGCGGGCGGCGCTGGCAGCTGGAGCTGCTGGGCGAGGCGCACGGGCACTTCCAGGCGGCGCTGCAGGCGCGCTCGGGACAGGTGTGGCTGCGCACCCGGCGGCCCCTGGACCGCGAGGCCCGCCCGCGCTACGCCCTGCGCCTGGCCCTGCGCTGCCACCGCCGCGCCGCCCCCGCCGAGCTGGCCGCGCTCAGCATCGCCGTGCTGGACGCCAACGACAACGCGCCCCGCTTCGCCAACCTCGGGCCGGCGTCGGCGTCGTCGGTGCGGCGGCTCCGCGTGGCCGAGACGCTGGCGCTGCGGGCGCCCGTGTGGCAGGCGCGGGCGCAGGACGCTGACGCGGGTGCCAACGCCGAGCTGCGCTACTTCGCCCGCCCGCCCAGCGCCCACTTCTTCGTGGTGCCGCGCAGCGGGCGCGTCGTCCTGGTCCGCTCCCTGCTCCACCTGCGCGCCCCGCTCCCGCTCCGCCTCTTCGCCCGCGACCGCGGCCGGCCCGCGCTCCTCAGCGCCCCGCTCGACCTCGAGGTCCTGCCCGAGCCCGTCCAGCTGCCGCCCCCGACGGCGCCCCGCTCCGACGACGACGCGCCCTGCCCCCGCAGGAGCCCCCGCTGGCGTTGGCGCTGCCCGAGGACGCCCGGCCCGGCACCCTCCTGGCCACTCTCCGCCCGGCCGCCCGCTTCGCCGCGCCCCGCTTCCAGCTCGTGTCTCCCCCCGACGGGGAGGCCCCCGTCCGCCTGGACGCCGACACCGGAGAGCTCACCTTGGCCCGCGGCCTGGACCGCGAGGCCGCCGCCCGCTGGGAGGTCGTCTGCCGCGTCCAGGACAGGACAGGTAGGCGCTGACGCGACGGCGGGGCCGGCAAAGGCCTAATTCCGAAGGGACGGGGGAGCGGAGCAAAAAGAGCGGGAAACCCCCCCCCCCCCAGCAGTCACCCCAGGGGGTGCAGCTTCCCGCCTTCATGTGCTTGCAAGCTCTTCAGCCCACTTTGGCTTCCAGATCTAAGGAGGGCAGTTCATAGCCCGTGCAAAATCTCAGCGACAACCGAGCTGAGGGCAGGGCAGAGGTAGAGTGGCAGGGTGTGTGGAGCTGAGCCCTTCCCTTCCTCTGCTGTTGTTGCCTGATAATGTGGTGGTCACCTTTAAGGTGGCCCACATGGTTCTCCCCATTTCATCCTCCCAACAGGTGGGATCAGGTTGAGAGACAGCGGCTGGCCTGAGGTGGTGATAGTGTTTGAACCCTGAGCCTTCCAGGTCCTAGACTGGGGTGGAGCACCTGTGACCCTTCAGGCAATATTTAACCAGAGCTCCCATCAGTGGGGTCAATGGGAAGGATGGGAGCAACGTCTGGAGGGCCCCCACAGGTTCCCCATCCCTAGCCTTAACCACTACTCAACACTGTCTTGCCTATGCCACACTGGCTCAGTGATGTGGGGCTAGAAAGCTCTGTCCATTTGCATTTAGGATTATGCATACGGCACACTTACTGTCTTCATACCTCCCCCTGTCTGTGCATTCGCTGCTTTCCGAGAGTTGGGTTTTTCATCCACGTCCATACATTATCCAAAATGCAGATGTATCCTGTATTTCATCCTAGTGTGTGATGCTGCCGTTTCTCAAACCAGCTTCACCCCTTAAGATGTTCCTAATTCCTAATAGGTCTCTAGCCATCGTGGGAACACCTTTGCACAGGGTAAATGCAATTCTCTGTCTGTCAACCAAAGGCCAGTCTGCTCTAAGGCAGTAACCTGAACTCCTTGAGTCTGGTTAGAATCGGTGGGGTTTCTTTGAGCTAAATTCTGGCCTGTTTTGAAAGGTCAACAGGGCCTGTCACATCTTCTGCAACAGAAAATCTAGCACCATGCCTCTCTGGAACTGCCCAAAGAAATCAGCAGTTATTAAACTTCCCAGGACTGTCCCAAGACAGTTTGCTGCCTAAGGTAGAGGTGGTCTTAGCAACGCAACCTCCACAGCATCTAATAATAGCAGGCTGGTTGAGAAGAATTGCTTAGGGAACACCTGTGGCCAGCAGGCTAGTTTAGGTGAATACTGCCCACCCCTTCCCAGCATCTGATGTCCTGCCTAACAGTAGGGCTGGCTCCCAAATTTCCTGCTTTCGGAAAATGTTTGTCCTACCAAATGGCATGGATTTGGTTGAGCCTCCAGCAGGGAAGCAGAGTCTCGTAGTTCTTAGCTACTAAGATGGAGCTGGGGAGCCTATGACCCTCCAGGTATTGCTGAAATACAACTCCCCTTGTTCCTTGCTACTGGCTGGGGCTGGTGGGATTTGGAATCCAACAACATCTGGAGGGCCACAAGATTCCCACCCACCCCCTGCACTAAGAAAAGCAGTTCTGTGCAGTTTGGGTAATTTTAACCGTTTTAGCTCTGCCTCCTCTCCAGGCCCTCCCCCTCCAAATAATAAGCCTGGGATTTTAGTTCTAGAGAATTGCATCTTATTGCAGAACTATAGTGTCCCAGGTTTCACTGCAAATGTACTTATTATTCTCATATCCCATCTTTCTTCCAAGGGACAAGTGGCAGATTCAATGCTCTCTCCCCACCCCCACCATCCCAATTATATCCTTACAACAATCCTGTCAAGTAGGTTAGGTTGGGAGATGGTGACTGGCTTAAGGGCATGCAGTGAGCTTTGTGGCTGAGTCAAGATTTGAACCCCAGTCTTACCCCTTTTGCATCCAAGAGTGCATGCAGTGGGGAATTTTTTTGGGGACTGGCTTACACGTGACATACTGCTCTGGTTATGAATGTCATGTGGGTGGGTGGAAGGAAATCCCATCACAGAACCTTTCCATATACATATATTGCCTGGAATTTGTTCTCAAAGTGTGATATAATGCCTCTTGCAAGCTCTCTGGCTTCTGTTGAAATGTTACCTGTATGCAAGGTCTATGTCCTTAGCTCTGCCTACTTTTGTCTCTAGCCACGCCCACTGGAATACAGTGGTACCTCGAGTTACAAATGCTTCAGGTTACAAACGCTTCAGGTTACAAACTCCGCTAACCTAGAGGAGTTACCTTTAGTTGAGAACTTTGCCCCAGGATGAGAATGGAAATCGTGTGCTGGCAGCACAGCGGCAGCAAGAGGCCCCATTAGTGAAAGTACACCTCTTAACAGTTTCAGGTTAAGAACGGACCTCTGGAACAAATTAAGTTCATAACTAGAGGTACCACTGTACGACCCTTTGGAAGTGAATATGGCTCTCCAACCCTGATGCAGTGGCCCTGAGGAAACGTGGTGGCTTTTTTAAAGCTGTTTCTTCTGCATTATTTGTGATTGTGTGTCAGAGCATGGATGTGCCCATTCAGCACATCCTGTTTTTTCTCACGACAGAGCCGCTGGATGGAATTGCACCCTAAGCATAGACAGGTAGTGCAGTTCTGGAGGAAAACAGTTGTCATGAACCTGAAGCAAGGGGCAGCCTCCTTCCTTACAGACTCAGTTTCCTGCACCAGAATTCCTAGTTCCCTGTGATGACCAGGCGAGTTGTTTAAATGCAATGGTTCTCTAATAACGTCATTGTCGCCTGGCAGAGAGAGCGCAGTTGGAGGTGCAGTGTGTGTAGATTGGGGAAGGCACTTGGAATGACTGAGCTTCTGGAAGGCAGCCCTAGAGGCAGTTTGGCAATCGGCCCAATGGAATGGGCTCTGCTGTCCAGTCTCGCCATCAGATGTAGCCACGTGGAAGTAGCAGCTGATGGAATTTAGAATTGCTGTGTTCATGTGCATAGAAATGTAATACTTCCAGAATTTTTTTTGACATTTTAAGGGGTAAAAGTCTTGTTTCCTCCTATTCTCCCAGAAGACAAAAACGAAAATGTTGTGGGAAGTTGGAATATATATGCACTACTTCCTTAACAAACCTAACCCCACTTTCGACAACATAAAATGCATCATTTGTAACTTAGATAACACACAGTTGTACAATTTGGCTTGTCTATGAAATGTACAGAGAAATCCTGTGGATGTTTACTCAGAAGTAGGCTCAGTGCTTCATACTTCACGTTTTGAGTGAGGAAAACTATATAGCTATATATATCTGTGTATATTTATATATCTATATATATCTATATAGTTTATCTATATATCTATATATCTATTTATGTACACACACACACACACACGTTTTACTTGTGCCAAAGAATAAATGATCTCTTAAGATTTTTTTCCTAAGTTCTTAACATTTTAAGTGTTTCTGATGGACAAATAATAAAAGCAAAACCTCAGAAAAAGCAGTCTACTCCCACCCCTGATTTTTTCCCTTTTTGTCCTAGGCTTCTCTTTCTACATATGTGCCAAGATTTACAGAGCCATGCAATCAAATTTTTATTGCACATTTATTCTATTTTTTTACTTTATTCCATATCTGGAAATTAAAAATCCAGTTGAGGAACATGCTGCTCACTTCCTAATGCATCTGATCATTGCAAGATGAACAAGATCGTATTTTGACCCCAGAAGCGCCGTCTCAGGTGGCAGCATTACTGCTATGCCTTTTTAAAATGATTTGGACTGCATCGCAGGGAGGGCTTTTGTGACTATGCTGTCAGCTTTGCTGTTGCAGGGTTTGAGCTGCTTTGGTGTTGGATGCCATGCTTTGACAAGCCCTCTAGTTTTTGTTTTCCCAGCTCTTCTTATTCCGCTGCACCTGATTGGCTCAAGGGAAGGGTTGTGGCTCAGTGGTAGAGCATCTGCTTTGCATGCAGAAGGTTCCAGGTTCAGTCCCCTTATGGAATCTGCAGGTAGGACTGGGAGAGATGCACCTTGTCTGATATCCTGGAGAGGTGCTGCCAGCCAGTGCAGGCTACCTTGAGCCAGATGGACCAGAAGCCTGACTGAGTATAAGGACCCTTCATATGTTCCTAGCATCTCCAGGTAAAGCTGGGAGAGACACCTGGCCTGGAACCCTGGAGAGCTGCTGCCAGCCAGTGCAGGCAGTACTGAGTTAGATGGACCAGTGGTCTGACTCAGGCAGCTTCCTGTTTTCCTAGCAACTGTCCCACTAGTGAGCTGGCCCTTTCCCAAAAATGTGACTTGTATCTTTTGTTGGGGGACTATTACTTACATATATCTCTCCTCTCCCCATCTTGTTGCTGTAAAGAATAAAACAGAGACACTTCAAAGGGAAACGAGTCCTCTTTGGTTGTGTAGCCATCTTTTTAAGATGGATGCGTTCAAAGTGTTGGGGACTGCTCTTAGCATGAGACAATCTATTCAGCAGGGATTATGCCTTCCTGGAATGTGCTCTAATTTTTATTTAATAGAACTTGGAGCGGTGTATCTTGATGCCTTGTCTCCAGTTCTCTGTGCCCAAAAGAATTCTTCACGAGGACTTTAATGTTGTCAGGAAGAGATCTCTCTCTCTCTCTCTCTTCCAGTGGTGGCTTCTATCGCTGCCATCTTTATTTCCCTACAGTCTGACTCAAAGTGCGGTTTAAGCTTCTTGAAGTGCCTCTAATCCACAGTCTTGCTTCTCTCCAGAGCAAATCAGTTTTCTTTAATGTTTTCTGCCAGTTCCGTGTCATCTGCAGGAGCCGCAGCAGAGAATGAATGGCAGATTACCCGGGGGGGGGGAGAGGGAGGGGGGAGAAAATATGCTTGTTCCTGGAAGTAACTGCTTTCAGACTGACTGGTTTACTCTGCGGCCTTGAGTCCCTTGTTTTGTTGCTAGCAAAATAAATTGCTACATCAAAAAGAAGTTGGGGGGGGGGGGAGAGGAGGCTGGGCAAATTAGGTATATGTTACAAACAAATCCCGGCGTGATGTAAAAGTCTCTCTCTCTCTCTCTCTCTCTCACTCCCATACACACACACACACACACATACACGGACACAACTTTTGCAAAAACCATTTTCTTTTTATTGTGAGTGTAATTGCCTGGAGAACTGCATTTTGATTAGAATTTAGAAGGACTGCCAGGAGCCAGATGGAATTGCTTCAGGGGGTTGGATGTACAACCCACAGGCAGAGCAATCCTAAGTATAGGGAGCCAGCAGGATTTAGGCTGGCTTAAGATAACGGGGGGCATTAAATTACCTCTGTTCCAAACTTTGCTCAGCTGTGGGGCCACATATAGCCAGCTGAGCCCTCAGACCCTCCTTTGGGGCAGCTGGCTGTCCATCGTGAAAACGAGAGTGGAGGAATAGCAAAGCCCTAGTGATCCAGCAGGCCACTTCTTAGGGAAGTCTCCTTATGGCAGGAGAACCTCCATGCCCAGGGACAGTCTACCTCTGAATGCCAGGCAATGTGGGAAAAGAAACTGCTGTTGTGCTCAAGCTTCCCACTGGCAGTTTGGATGCAACTCAGCTTGCTGAGAAGCGTTTCTGTGGGTCAAGACAGATAGTACAGGGGACCTCCAGCTTCCCAGACTATTCCCTGGACTAGATCAGGGGTCAGCAAACTTTTTTCAGCAGGGGGCCGGTCCACTGTCCCTCAGACTTTTTTGGGGGGCCGGCCTATATTTTGAAAAAAAATTATGAACGAATTTCTATGCCCCACAAATAACCCAGAGATGCATTTTAAATAAAAGCGCACATTCTGTTCATGTAAAAACACCAGGCAGGCCCCACAAATAACTCAGAGATGCGTTTTAAATAATGTAAAAACACGCTAATTCCCGGACTGTCCACATGCCGGATTTAGAAAGCTATTGGGCCAGATTCGGCCCCCAGGCCTTAGTTTGCCTACCCATGGACTAGATCAGCCTTTCTCAACCTGTGGGTCCCCAGATGTTGTTGAACTACAACTCCCATCACCCCTAGCTAGCAAGGCCAGATCTCAGGGATGATGGGAGTTGTAGTCCAACAACATCTGGGGACCCACAGGTTGAGAACCGCTAGACTAGATGATCCTTAGGACTCCTTCCAAGTTCTGCAGTTTTGTGATTCTAGCTAGGGCTATAGGGCTCTTTCTTATCAAGAATGTGCTTCCTTTAATATACCAAGGCTCAGTCTGAATACCTTTCAATTAAAGATGTGCTTCTGAGCAAGGATTTGTTTTACTATTTATTTATTTCATAAAATGTATACACCATTTGATTGTTTAAAAAACAACAACCCCCAAAACCCCAAAGAGGTTTAGAAAAAGATAAAAGCACTAAAATCGAGAAAAAAATCACAGCCATAAAAAGTTAAAATACTACCTCGACTTTCTAAAGCGCCTGGATAGGCTTAGCTAAACAAGAATGCTTTTAGCAGGTGCTGAAAAGAGTACAGCGAAGGCAATTGCTTGACCTCAATAGGCAGGGAGTTCCAAAGTGCAGGTGCTGCCACACTAAAGGATTGAGTTCTTGCAAATACAGAACAGGTATTATGTGGCACCTGTAGTAGTAGTTCCAATTCCACCAATCGAAGCGGTTTTACTAAAGTTAATTTTTGCTGCTGCATATGACCCCTGCATGCTAACAGCTGGAAAGTTGTCCTCAGGTCCTGCTTGCTTGTGGTCTTCAGGGGCATCTGGTCGGCCACCGTGAGAACAGGGCACAGGACTGGATGATGACTGCAGGGTCCAGGGTGGTTCAGATGGAGAGAGGTGACCCCTGAGGTATTGCGGTCCTGAGCTGTAAAAGTGCCCTGTATCTGTGCTACTTACTGGCAGTATTTGATTGGCACGTCTCATCAGTTTGCCCATGGAAGGGCTGTGGAAGGAGCTTTAGCTGTGGAATGAGCATTGATGCCTTTGCCCTGACATTTTCATTTTGAGAAGGAGCCTGATTTCCATCCACCTCTGGTTGGGATGATGGGAAGATCCTTTCTCCTCTAATCCTCTGTCATCTCAGGCTCCTCTGACCTCCCTCCATCCCTCCGCATTAGCCTCGTAATCCCCTCCCGTTCCCCCGCTCCATCCCCTTTCCCTTTTCTTTCCAAGGGATTTGCTCGGGGTGACGTTTGGCATGTTCTCCAGAATAGGTAACGCCAATCTTGCAATATTTTATTTAAGCACATATTTGTATCTCTTAAGTACCGTGTATGTTGTGGAGGAAAACCAGCTCTGGTATTTGAATATTTTATCACATCAAGTCTTTAACTTTAATGAATGCAAAGGATTATGAGCTTAATCTGGGGCCAGAGCCCCACGCTAGCCGTGTTGGTTGTTGACGGGAGGCTTGTGTTCAGGGCAAGGTGGGGCACACCCCCCCCAAATCCAAAGCTGTAGCTCACTACAGCTCCCACCGTTGTCTTCTTAGTTTCCTTCTCATTCAGAAACTCCCTGCAGTGTTTTCTGTCCGTCTCCCATGGTAGGAAATCACAGCACAGCCAAAAACAAACATCAGTTATTTTGAGTGTGACTTCTTCACACAGTATGTAGTTAAGCTGTGGAACGGCCAATAACCCAGAAGGCTTGGACAAAGAGGCTTGGACAAATTAATGGAGGAGATGGCTGTCAATGGCCATGTTGGCTGTGCTCTGAACAGCTGGAGGCAGTAATGCTTCTGAATACCAGTTGCTGGAAGCCAGAGGAGGGGAAAGAAGGCTCTTGTGCTCAGGTCCTGCTTGCTGGTTTCCCACAGGCTGGCCACTGTGAGAACAGAAGGCTGGACTAGGTGGATCCCTTTGATCTGACCCAGCAGGCTGTCTTACATTCTTACGTTTTAAAGCCCTGACCTGTTCAAGCTTGACCCAGAAACAGAGGCAGTGTGGAAGGAGAGAAGGAAGAGGATGAAGCATCACTGTATCCACAGATCAGGTGATTTAAGAAGCAGAGTCCAGCAGGGTGTGCTGGTGTTGTCCTCCACCATGTACTTGGTTGTATTGCCACCTCTTCCACAAATGTAGGTCTAAGTGGAGAAACAGGTTCTAGGGTCTCCAGTCTCCCGTTTCCAGTCCAGCTGGTGCAACACTGTTCTTTATGATGCTGGGGCTGATGGGAGATGCAGTGCAGAGCATGTTGGGAAAGCTTTTCCTCGTCACCTTCTCTGTGGCCCATTCAACTGGATATGCCAGGAATTAAACCTGGGATGTCTGCACGCAGGGCACATTCTTGACCTTTGAGCTACAGTACTTCATTTTTGCAGCTAAGCCATTGCACCCATCTCCCTTCCCAAGTGGCAGTGCTCAAGCCTTCCACCGAGTCTTAGCTGTGATCCTGTTTCTGGTTTGTTCTTCTGTCAGTTGCTCCAACTTCCCCATTTCTTTTTATGTTGCGTCTTAGGTTGTAAGCTCCAAGGCAGGGACCGTCTCCTGTTTTAAGGACCCCTAAGCCTCTCTGGTATTCTTTTCAGCTGCAGAGCAGGGTAAAAAACCACTTCGGAGAAAAATAAATAAATCTGTAAACGCATTTCTTCTTTTTGTGGTTTATCATTCTGGTGTGTTGCTCACTTTCAGTGCAAGTGAATATATGTATGTGGAAAGTTGAGAAAACAAAGCTTTCTCTTTGCTGCCTTAAAGAGTTTTATGCATACAGGAGATTTAGATAGGACATCTCTTACTGCAGGCAGTCAGATTATAAACATCTTTGAGAAACTGTTTACATTTGAGCACCTAAGCTTTATAGACCTGCTGGCTGTTTTTTCTTCCTCTTACAAACATTTAATTTCTGCAGAAGTCGTCAGCTTTTCCTCTAGATCTAACTAAATTTCAGCACAAATCTGTTTAATCTGGTGACAGATGTAAATTGCAGAGCATATGGGTATAGTCTGCCTGGCTCCTAAAGCTGGTTTGCAACATTTCAAATGGGAGGGCAACCAAGTTGTGAGACCAGTAATACGATGTTAGCTTCACTTGAAATGACTACTAAATA